ACATTTTCCAGAAACCAGATTATTATATGATTCTTCCTATGAAGCATTTCTGGAAACTAGATTAATTGAGTCTTTATCTTTCCAAACATCATAAGTACATTGGTGCAGAGCAGGCAACAGAAAATTTCAATTTTCACAGCTTATGTAATGATTTAGAACACAGTGGGAATAAGCCAGTGTCATATAATACCGGATATAAACTTACGAAATAACAATCTTTTACATCATAGCTTTATAGCAGTGGAGATCAGTGCTACTCTTCAACTAGTAAATCAATAGAATCTATTTCTTTTTTACCACCGTGGTGTCCGGGCCAGCTTATGCGCACCACGACTATTTCCACGAGATGCCTGTCACCTCCCAATAACAACAGGTACCAGGTAATTTTGTCCACCAAGGCTAGACCTTAAACAGAGTCAATTCCCTAAATGGTCACCCAAGTTTGGGGAATTGCCTTGAAATATCATTCATGTTTCACTTAGGACCAAAATATCACCCAACTATCACTAATTTCCTCCAAATATACTTAAAACTTTAAAAACTTTACTCTCTCCTAGTTGGCATGCCATATTATTAAAGTCTTTTTTAAAATAATAGACTTATTCAATTCATCAAACTCATTTAACTAAAATAATAATCTTATTATTTTTAAAATATATATATATATTTGTTTATTAAGAAGAAAATTTCATACTAAAGAATCTTTTATCATAATTAATTTTTTTTATTTTTTTATGCTATGAAAAAATAGGGTTTTAAAATATACTATACTGTCATCAATTTTGAATACTTATAAACACATATATTCAAAAAAAAAAATATTGGTATACAAATCACTCATGAATGTTAACTTACATCAATTAATCATAAATTGTATAATGAATCAATAATATTAAATGTCAATTAACTATTACAATAGAATTAATTGTGTACTTTGAAATTCATGCTTACAATATTTAAAAAATAATAAAATAGAAAGTGACTAATATTATTACTAATTTATTTCCCCCAAAAAAAATATACTAATACCTCAAAAGTCTCCTTCCATTCTAGTTGATATGTCATGTCATTAAATCATCATTTTAAAAAAAAGAATAATAGACCTATTTAATTCATTAAACTTATGCCTCTACAAAATAAATATATAAATTACGTGAGAATTTATGAAGATTATAAAAAAATACTTTTAAAATATCTAATTCCTTCATATTTTTCTACCAAACAAAATTCAATGAATTTTTTTTGTGTGCAACTGTTACCTGAGAATTTTTGAAATCTCTAAGTAAATTATTTGAAAATTTCAAGTAATTTTTTTCATAAAAGTACTCAAATAAATTTGTAAGGTTGACAAAATAGTTGGTAAAAAGGAGAAATTTATTATTTAACTTTTGTTTTTAATTTAATTTTGACCAGTGATTTATGTATCAATATTTTTTGAATATATGTGTTTATAAGTATTCAAAATTGATGACATTATAGTAAGTTTTAAAAAAAAACTATTCTTCATAGCATAAAAAAATAAAAAGTTAATTATGATAAAAGATTTTTAAGTATGAAAATTTCTTCTAAATAAACTAATATATATATAAAATTAAAAAACAGTAAGATCATTATTTTAGTTAATTGAGTTTGATGAATTAAATAAGTCTATTATTAAAAAAAAAAAAAAAAACTTCAATGGCATGGCATGCCAACTAGGAGAGAGTGGAAATTTTGAAGTGGTAAGTATATTTGGAGGAAAATAGTGATAGTTGAGTGATATTTTGGTCCTAAATGAAACATAAATGATATTCCAAGGCAATTCCATAAACTTGAGTGACCATTTAGAGAATTGACTCATAACACGACGTACCAAAATATTTTTCCATCTAAAGTTTTAGCCAACTGGCTAAAGGGTCTCATTACCAATGATCGAAAAGAAGTTGCAACAAATATTTCATTTTCTTAAGTTTCGGAGAATTGTTTTCTCTAGTAACATATATGTGCATGCATGAGACACAGTTGTATTAATTACATGTTAAATTTTAAAGAGATTAACTTATATCCACTGACAGTGGACAAAAAAAATTACACCATCAGTGATAAACTTGGGATCAGATGAAAGTTCAATTCCAAACATAGAGAAACATACACTAACCTAACACAAAGTCTAATATTTCTTCTAAAATTACTGTGGTGACAACAATACTCATCCATTTTATTACCCGTTGAACATTATTTCTAGTCAAGCCCCTTTCTTTTCTTTTCACAGGTGTAGTCAAGGCCTGCTTTTTAACATATAAAACAGATCAGATGAAAGTTCAGAATTTCTGGAGTACACTACAAATGAAGCTAGTTCTTCACTTTTTCCTGTTACGTAAATGTTGAAAGAACATCACTTCGATCAAATATAAACAGCTTCTGTTTACAGGAATGCCACTTGAATAAAGCACTATCTTCTCTGTCCCAATTTATACGTCACTCTTTATACTTTGGATATCTAAAATATATAGCACTATTCCATTTCTGTATAACTTCCACAACTTTTAAGAATTCAAACTTGTTAAACTAATAAAACAATTCAAAGTTTAAACTTTGAGATTAACTTTTCAACTTCATTTTAACATTTTTTTCACTATTACTACTAGGATTTAACTTGTGTAGGCAGACGGCGCAAAGAATCTTCACACTATCAGTGTAATTTCACCCATTGCAGCAGGTTGCTTGCTTTATATTTCAGGTTGCTAATTTCATTTATTATGGATTGTTACATGTTGTTGCCATGTGACAAGGAGGTCATGTTCGAGTTGTGGAAACAATCTCTTGCAAAAATATTGGATAATTTTGTATAAAATAGACAATGGTGATCCGACTCTTTTCCAGACCCCACACATTAGTGCACCCAGGCTACCTTTTTTTTATGAACTGTTTTATGTAGTTGTATACTTTTACTACACTAGTTAACTGTTACTAATATAATAACTTAATAAGTCAAATTAACATCCTAAAACTATGTGTTCAGTCAAATAGCATTACATAAAATAGGACTAAACTGACAGCTTCTCAAATTGTCATCAAGAAACAGTGCAAGCAGGGGCGGAGCCAGCATTGTAGTTCCGGGTTTGACAGAACACAGTAACTTAGGCTCAAACCATGTATTTGAATTAAAAACTTGTTTTATATGTATAAATAATCTATCGAGAACCCATTGTGATCAAAACCCATAAACTAAGCTAGCGCTTGACCATAGATTTTAAGAGTAGCTTTTGAAAATTCATCTTCAAATATCTGTTGACCCATGAAATTTGAGCAGGTTTTATCTTCAAATATTTTCAAGTTCCCAAAAACCGACTCAAATTAGTTTTTAGATTTTTGGGACTTCCAAGTAAAATACATGTCCAAACACAAATTTAAAGGGCAGCCTAGTGCACTAAAACTCACCTATAAGCAAGTTCCAAAAAAGAACCTTACCACAAAGGTCTGTTGTACACATCTTTCCCTGCATTTCTACTACATGCTATTTCCACGGCTTAAACCCATGACCTCTTGGTCACATCACAACAACTTTACCCATTAAGCTAAGCCTACTCTACAAACAACAACTTTCAAAAACTCAATTTTTCAAGTTTCAACTTCATAATCTATAGCCAAACGGGAGCTTAAAATACTGACTCCATCTCTAAGTGCAGGAAACATAGAAAAAGCCATGATCATGAGCTCATGACATTGCTCTCCTACGAAAGTAAAAAAAGAAGCAATTTTGCAGCATACCCAATAAGCATAAACTAGAAATAAGCAAAACCCAGAAGCCAAAAAAATTAAATTTTACCTTAAAATCAATGGCAATGCCTTTCTTTTTGGATTTTTCCTGGATAACAAAGTTCTTTAACATAGCTTCTCCTTCTTTTTTCCATTTGTTGGTGAGCTGAAAAATGGGTTGTTTGAAAGATTGAATTTTGGGTGAGAGAGAATGAGGGCAAGGACTCCATAGAAGAAGCCCTTGCTTCGTCATTATTGCCATTTTTCTTCTTTACTTTGCTTCAGTTTGTATGATTTTTTTTTGTTTATCTTGAAGAATTCAAGATAACATTCTTCTTTTTTTCTTTTTTTTTTCCTGTACAAAATAAGCTTTGGGGTTTGAAGCATGTAATTTGGAATTTTATTGAATATTATTTTATATTAATAAATAATGTATGAAAAAATAAATGCATTATTTATTTAAAAAAGAAAATTAGGGTACGAAATAAAATTATTAGAAGTGGAGGTGTTGAATTCCTTGATATCATCATAGTTGTTTGGTGTGAGGTATAAGGTATGATAATTCCACAAATAATATGCATGATTATTTTATCCTACATTTGGTTCGAGATATTAGGTAGTCGTGAGACTATTTATCTCATTATTAATACATTAGTGATATGATAAGTTATCTCATATAAATGGTACTTATCCCGCGATAATTAATCATGGGATGACTTGCTGAAGGAAGGTAGACATAATATCATAAATCACAATTCACAAGGGAGGTAAATGTTATAGAACGAAATCTGAAGAGAGATCTATGAAATTATCTTTTTATATTCTTACACATAATGTCAAACATTATTAATATGAAAAAAATGCATTATTTATTAAAAAAGAAAAGTACAGTACGAAATAAATTATTAGAAGTGGAGGTGTTGAATTGGACAGTATAAAAGTCATTTGGTGTGATATATAAGGTATAATAATTTCAAAAACAAAATGCAGGGACTATTTTATTCTACATTTGGTTGGAGATATTATCGTTGTCGTCCTAAGACTACTTACCCTATCATTCATACCTTAGTGATGAGGGGTGATCTTGAATTTTTGGCCTTTACTTAAATGTAAAAACTTTTAAGATCAAAAATCAAAACTTATTAAACTCGAGTATTTTTTTTCTAACGAGAATCAAAAGTTCAATGGGCCAGGCAACAACAGGCCTTAAATCTATCAATGGGCCTAGCAAGCCCAATACTGAAACTGGACCAGCAGCCCACTACTCTTCAGCAAAACCCTAAACTCCATATAATAAAACCCTAACGCCTCCTCTTCCATCATTATCAGGTAGAGAGAAGAGCAACAATGTCGAAGCGAGGTACAATTCGATTTCAATCGTATTTTCATTGTCTGATCTCAATTCCATATATTTATTTCAAAATTTGAGATTTTAGAGAACTTTCATGTCATATAACTCATTATTACCTGATAAACCAAGTTATTTAAGTCATATAATTCATAATATACCTTCAATTAAACATATTCTAATGTTTCATGTAGTTTGGATGTATATTAGTTGATTTCTTGCTTGATTTGTTAACCATAGTATACTGAAACAAGATGAGTAGTTTGGTCTCATGTATTTTTCAATTAAATGTAACTTAAGTATGAGATTTAGAGAATTTTTTAAGTCATACAACTGTTAACATACCTTTAGAAGGCACATTGGTTATGGTTATTAGAATGAAATGAGAAGTCTAATATAGTGGAACCGGTACAAAGTTTTCACGTAGTTAATCACAAGGTTGTTTAGGAGTGTGACTTAGTTTAATGTATTATACCGAAATGAGCTTAATAGAGTGGAAGATGTAAAAATGTTTCATATAGTTGGCCTCAATTAGTTTGAGACTGAAACTTGATTGATTGGTTAATTAGGTTTGAAACTGTAATTTAAGTACGCAAAAGTTCCATCGGGAATAAGTTCAGGATGTCGTTGGGTTTGCCGGTGGAAGCTATTTATTGTAATTAGAATGAAATGAGTAGCCTGTGTAGTTAAAATGTACAAATGTTTGAGGTAGTTAATCCTGAGTCCTGGCTAGTTTAGTATTGTGACTTAGAGGGTGTTTGGATTGGCATAAAAGTTGGTCAAACCTACTTTTAAGTCGTTTTTTGACTTCTGAGAGTGTTTGGCAAATATAAAAAATAACTTAAAATAAGTCAAAAATGACTTAAAATAAGTTGTGAAGTGTTTGGCAAGGTAAAAAATGACTTGAAATAAGTCTGAAACCAAAAGTAGGTCCCCCTACTTTTTATTTTTGACTTAAAAGTCATTTCAGTTTGACTTTTTATTTTTGACTTAAAAGTTAGTTTTTTTAAGCCAATCCAAACGGGCTCTTAGTTGACTGTTTTATACTGAAATGTGCCTAATAGAGTGGAAAGTGTAAATATGTTTCATTTACTTGTCCTCGAACTAGTTTCAGATTGAAACATGATTGATTTAATTAGTTATTTTAACACATGTACAATTCAATTTTCTGCTTGTTCTATGGAAATTCCATTTGTTCTCTTGTTGTTTGATCTCATGTATTTTTTGAAATTTTTGAAAATGTTACATTTGATGAGAGGCATAAATGTGAGGTTTAGCTGTTTAGGGAACTTTTAATTAATATAATCTTATTTATTTTTACCGGTATAAGAATAAAATGAGCCTAATAGGAGTATCAACTTGTATGGACATTTCATATCGTTGAACCTCACTGTTTTGAATTTAAAATGTAGCTGATTGATTGACTAATTGACTATTTTAAACTGTTATTTAAGGACGCGGAGGTTCCGCTGGGAACAAGTTCAGGATGTCGCTGGGTTTGCCAGTGGCAGCCACAGTTAACTGTGCCGATAACACTGGTGCAAAGAACCTTTACATCATTTCAGTGAAGGGTATCAAGGGAAGGCTTAACAGGTTGCCTTCAGCTTGTGTGGGTGACATGGTCATGGCCACTGTCAAGAAGGGTAAGCCTGATCTGAGGAAGAAGGTTATGCCTGCTGTCATTGTTCGTCAGCGCAAGCCATGGCGCCGAAAGGATGGTGTTTTCATGTACTTTGAAGGTATATCTAGATAACCCTTGGTTGCTTTTGTTGTGAAATTGCTTTGGTTTTCACATTATGAGTTTGCCAGTTGCTCTCTTTAACCTTGTTTTTTACCCCCTTGAAAATCACTACTTTTAGTTTGTCTTTCATTTGGTCTAGTTCTTCTTAGAAGTTCTACTATTTAGTGACCTGTTTGTCTGTGTAGTGATAGCTGTAGTTTTAAGAACACATTTTCTTTGAAGCAAAAATTATTTAATGTTTTATTTGAATGAACATCGATAGTGTTTCATGATATAATAAAGTCATGAAGTTGAGGGATAGCTAATTGATTGTAATATGAAATCTATAAAAAAGTTTTGGTTTCTTGTTGCTTAAGTTGTTCTCTTGAATGACTTGCGAAACATTATATGCAAGTGGTTCTTTGTGGCAAAGCAAAAAATGGTAAATCTTCGTTCCTTGCTACCGCTGTCTTGCTTGCATTCTGGTTTCGTCCACAATTATTTGTATCTAGTCACTGAATTAATCTGTGTGTTGGAACAGCTGTAAGTGGTATCTGCACAGTATATGAAAACCAGTCATCTGATGCTTCTCTTTGTTTCTACAGATAATGCTGGTGTAATTGTGAATCCCAAGGGTGAAATGAAGGGTATGTTATTTTACATTGAGTAGAGTTCATTGCTTTTTATGTTACTATCTCTTGTAGTTCGATTATCAGCAAATTTTGCAGTTACTGTTCCTTGTTTTTTCCTATCAGAATGTCAATCCGCACTTTTCATACTGGTCAATGTATTTCTTACCATGTGCATTCTTTTCTGTTATGTAGGTTCTGCTATTACTGGTCCTATCGGAAAAGAGTGTGCTGATCTGTGGCCCAGAATTGCAAGCGCTGCCAACGCTATCGTGTAGTTCTAAATTTGTGTTTTTCTGATAGTGTTCCATTTTCACTTTTTGGATATTTGAGGGATTTGTCTTGGGTAAGAACTATTACTGCAACTGGCTATGAGAATTTTGCATTGTTTCAGTTTTGTTTGTGCCGGCGCGTGCGCATTCGATTTATGTTGCTATGAGTTATCGTAGTTTAAATTCTGCAGTCCTCTTAAAAATTAATCAAATATGTATGAACCATTAATACATAGTAACTTTCAAAAATTAGAATTCATAATGTATAAATTTTCAAATTTCGGCTCACTTTTTGGACCAAAATGTAATGGAGGGTACATTTCCCCCCTTTTTTTCAATAATGAAGGGGAATTATTATCTTCAGAATATTTATCTAAGCTTTACCATTTACAATTACTTGTAATTAGATGTTAAGATGAAAGATAATAAATTTATATGAAAATATTTGTCATATATTTGATCAAACAACAGATGCAAATTAAAGGCCTTGACTAAACCTGATTTGAAACCAGGTTGATTGGAAGTTGAAGTTATAGTTTGGACATATTCTTTGGATTTTCTAAGTTACAAAACAAAAAAAACAAATTTTTTTTTAATTCTTATACAATCTTATCTAATGAGCAAGTCATAGTTCATAAACAAGTTATCAAAATAATAAATGGCATATCTTCATATTCCTTTTACAATAGATGTTTCCGGTTAATTTTTTATTTTTTTTGGCAATAAAATGTGAACTATACCATACCAACAACAAAAAATACACCTAAGAGCATCTATAATCTAGTTACCAACATCCTAGCATCAGATTAGTAGACCTTAATCAACATCTAATTACAAATTCTCTAAATTAAATACATTTACTACTATGTCGTGCATTCTGCAAATTCAGTACTCTCTCCCTAATGATATGTTTTATTTGTTGGACTACAAATATACTATTGACTTTTGTCTTCAAAAATATCACTTGATTGCAAGTCAGTCATGTGTTGTAGATTACAGCTTCATAAGTTGCAACAACCACTTCTTTCTCCCTCTTTTCCAATGTTTACTGTTGATCAGCATAAGCATCTCATTGACCCCTTAACATGGTAAGCTAGTCCCCAACCAATGTTGCACCTTCATTCATAGTTTGCATAATTGCACTCCATAGCAAATTTTATGTTTGTTATGGAACATCAGATTTGTATAAATCACAGGCATGCATTCGTTTGTATAAAAGCGTAGTGATTGTATATGTATATCAGTTAGATAATTGTATATATGTAACTACTATGTATATGTATCAATGATTGTGTTTGTACATCTGCATAAAATTTGAATTTGTATACAATTGAATCAAAACAAAACATTTGTATGTCAAATCTCTCTCTCTCTCTCTCTCTCTCTCTCTTTATACAGCACAAATTATACATTGTAATTTGTATAATTTGTGTTTGTATAAAGCGAGAAAGAGAGAAAAGCAAAAGAGAATAGGTAGGGGAAGAACTGTATTTGTATAATTATAAGTGTATAAGACGAAAATATATGCATTTGTATGTACAACTTTCTCTTGATTTATACAAACACAAACACAATTTATACATTTGTGTTTGTATAAAGTGAGAGAGGCGAGGGAGAGTGGCGAGCGAGTCTCTCTATGGAGAGAGGCGAATGACAAGTGTTTGTTACGGTTTGCTATTTTATACAATTTTCGCACACTTCACCTAATTTCACAAGATACCTGTCACCCCCAACCAATAATAAATACCATGTAATTCATAATCTATAAATTTCAAATCTCGATTTCACTTCGGCTAGTGAAAGCGTGATAATGTTATTGGTACTACACAATGGATATTATTCTCTTGATACGAAATTGAGTAAAAAAAAGTGCTTTTTAAGTGTAAAATTTCTAGTATAGTTTTTTGTGGATGATAAATTATAGTTCTAACTTCAAAAATTTCAATACGAAGCTTATGTAAACATATTCATTCAATTTCTAATAAATATAACATTTTGAACCCAATAATTTGAATTTGTTCAGCCATTCATTGAAACAAATATGAAGATTGAATTCATCAAATTGAAGTAATCCTGAATCTTAACGATATCCACTTACCTTAAGAGTGTATACACATCTTATTTCTACCTCGTGGAGGTAGAGAGTCTGTTTCCGAAAGACACTCGGCTCGAGTGAAGAAAAGTGAATATTGAGAGCAAAGGATATCTAATTCTTCCCATGCTTAGTTCAACATAAACACTGTACATGGATTGCATACATATATGAAATATCAAATCTACAAAGGAAAAAAGGGGCACAATTCACCTTGTGATATATAGATTCAACTTGTAATTTATTTCCACATTACAAACCAGATCTACCTAGAAAATCCATAATTGGAAAGCAGATTGAAACGCGATGACTAACTAATACCTGGAGATGGCTTGCCACGTTCCTTCTTGTAAGTCCTTCGAGATTCATCAAGAGCTCAGTAGTTGAACTCTAAAGCTGTTAAGAAACATAATAATCACTCGAACTCAGAATAGAAACCGTTAGTAGTAATCATGTGTAAGAACCTATTAATGGAGCCTCTTTCCCTTCCAGACGAGCTGAGGATTCTGAAAATGCATGTCGAGACATACAGGTAATTATATGTGTGATCACAAGTACCTTCTCCGAATTGTCAGTGTTTTGTGAGATATATGATGGGTGACCAGTACTCTACAACAGAAAAAAGTACAGGTAAATAGAATCTTGAAGTAGTGGTTATGTCCTCTCTGTTGATCAAGTTTGGTTTGTACAATGTATATTCAAGAATCATATTTTTTTCATCATTGATGCAGTTCTATGAAACAGCCAAGGTGACATTTTTCTCGTCTGGAGAAACCACAGCAGAGAGGGTTGAATCAGTTGCAGAGGGATTACATCTTCTTGAAGGACAGGTAAGTACAAACTCAACACCGATGATCCACAAAAGGCAACCCTGGAATAGGAAGGTTCGGAGGGGTTTTTAGGAACCATAGAGGCAACGGGGTATTAGGCTACATGAAGGGCATTCTCACACCACCACCATCTTAGTTGAGCTCCATGCACTTATCCAGGGTCTCCAACTAGCAGCAGAACATGAGTTATTACAGCTAGAAAGTAATATTGGCTCAACCAAAGCCATCCACATGCTTACACATGGATACAATAACATTATCTGGGAGCTCCAGTGCCAACAGATATATTCAGGGAACAGAATAGGGGGCGGGACATGCTGACAAAGGAGGGAGCGAAGTGCTGAGTTTGTGATGTACCACGTGTTTTGGTAGTTCCTCCAATGATTGCAACAGAAGCAGTGCCGGAAGATATTTCAGGAACTACGTTTCCTAGGAAAATATGCACGGCCAAGCAATTGGCATAGCTACCTCTGAATATTGTATGGTGCCAGCTATTAACTAACTATATGTAACTAGTCCGGGATCACACCCCTTAGCCTAGGGTATACAATTAACCCAAAAAAAAGGCAGATAATTCTACTAACCCTCCCAAAGTCACATTAGCTTTCCACTAGACAAAGCACACTTCGTTTACCAAGACTGGACTTGAAATTACAATATTCCCAGAGAGAAATGGAAACCATATAAAATCAATGATCACTAAAAATGCAAATGACTCAGAAATGTACATGAAAATTCAATTGAAGTTCTTTTAAACCATCGGCATATAAACTTTATACCTTTATGAGCAGCAATAAGCTAAACTACTACTACAACAACATACCCAATGAAATCACATAGAGTGGAGTATGGGGAGGATAGAGTGTACGCAAACCTACCCCTACTTCATGGAGGTAGAGAGGCCATTTCCGAAAGACCCTCGGCCAATAAGTTAAACTACATTCACTAAAATGTCTCAAAAAAATGTCTCCAGTTCTACATAACTTTCATTATTCATTAATTTTCCCCTAAAGAATGAATAAAAGATGTATGCATCAACAGTCATGGGATATAGAAGTACACTAGTTGAAAACAAAGTATAATGATCATTATCAAACAAAATTAACTTTCACTTCATATATCTAGCCAACAGAGGGAAATTGTTACATATTGATGCGAACACAAATGCTTTTGTGAGCAATTAACAGAACACATCCAAAAAAAAACTGACACTTGAGAAGTTGATGTTGGCAGTGAAAGTATGCTTAGAAACTACATCTTAACCACCACCTGTTCAGCAGAACTCTTCTTCACAACTCCTCTAGAGCACAACTCATTCAGTAACTCCAAAGCCTCCTCTGCTAAGCCTTCATAAGCAATACCTTCAATTAGAATAGTGTATGTAGATTCAGTAGGTTTGCATCCCTTTGAAATCATATAAGCTAAGAAGTCAATTGCACGATCTGTTTGGCGAGCTTTACACAGCCCCAACATAATGGCATTGTAGGTTATAGCATTGGGCCGGACATCCAATCCTTCTATGTCGTGAAAGAACTTTATGGCTTCATCAACTTTTCCTTCCCTACTAAGACCTGCCACAAATGAGGAATAGGTAATGATATCAGGTTGGAGACCTTTCTCTCGCATTTCATTCAGAAGTTCAATGGCAAGTTCAGTTTTCCCAACTTTGGATAGTCCATCAATCACTGTATTGTAAGTGATTAGAACTGGAGAACAGCCTTTGTCACTAAGTTGATTGAGGATTTCAACTGCAACATCAACCTTACCATCTTTGCACAAAGCCGTGAGCAATGTATTATAAGTCACAATATCAGGGTAACAACCCCTACTCACCATAACTTCCAAATACTCAATTGCTCTATCCATTTTCTTCTCTTTGCAGAATGCATGAAGCAATGGATTATAACTCAAGGAGTTCGGCGTACATCCATACTTAGGCATCTTCTCCAATAAATCAATCGCCCGTCCCAACAGTCCCTTCCGACATAAGAAATTGATCAAGATGTTAAACGTGACAACACTAGGAGAACAGCCTTTTCTAACCATATCAGCCAACAGTTTCTCGGCATCCATCCACCTACCTGTACTACACATACTACGCAAAATTATATTGTGGGTAATCACATTAGGTTGGCAACCATAAGATGGCATATTATTCAGAAACTTGATTGCTTCGTTCAATCTCCCTTCCTTACAAATCCCA